CCCAGCATCATTTGCTGAACAAATTTTCTTTGTTCCATTGTATCTTCTTTGCTCCTTTGTCAAAAATTAGGTGTCCATATACTTGTGGGTTTATATCTAGGTTTTCTATTCGAATCCACTGGTACATGTGATTTTCTTTATACAGTTGGGAAGGAACTCCTGAAGTTAGAGGTCTGAGTTCTAACCTGAAACATTTTCTATATCCTGTTATTAGAGTATCTGCTCCACAGATTTGTGAGAAAAAAATCACAAAGATGTTCTTGTCAAAGTGAACATTTTTTATTTAGAATTAGAAAAACAGTTTAAAAAGCAAAATTTAATATAGTCACCAGGATGGCAATGACATATCAGAATACCATTAGTTAAATTGGATGACATTTCGTAGGGATAGCTAGCACAGGGACGGTTATATCTCACCCCTGCCATATTCTAGTGACTAGAACCCAGTCATGTGGTCCTCACCTAACTATAGGAGAAATAGTCTTTCTGTGAGGAAAATAAGTAGTAGAATTTGACAGATAGTATTGCTTTTGCCCTTAATATGGATACGATCTTCCAGGCAGAGAGTATTGAGCTAGTGGAGGAGCAGGCCCATGATGGAACGAACAGACAGAAACCTGTCATGTAGAAGTTAGGTTGAAGGAAATAGGGAACAAGAGAGTTGAGGAATAGCCAAAAACTGGGGATGGTGTTAGGTGGGTGATAGAAATTAAAAATGTCTGATGTAATAAAAACTAAGGTAATTTTCCAGGGAGAATGGGAGTTGTCAGATATATGAGATGCTGCTGAGATGAGATACTAGGAAAGTTGGTAAAAACATGAAAGGAGGGGAGGGTTGATCCTTGAGAAAGCCAAATGGAAATCAGGGCAGAAATGAGGGGCCTTTAATGGAAGGGAAGATGGCAAGAAAGAAAAGGTGAATTCAGATATAGAAAGGTTTATAGGTGAACTGCAAAGGTGAGAGAAGTTTTTGCCTGATGGTTGAGAGGCAGTCTTGGATAGCAGTTAACATGCGTGGACTCCACATTCCAAATCTGCTGGCTCTAAATTTCTGTTTTCTGTTTCACTAAAAATGTGAGTAAATAGGCAAGTTACTTGTTTTAGTTACTTTACTGAAAATGTGAGTAAACGGGCAAATGTCACATTCATCCAATTAAATGGGCAAGTTACTTAATGTCTGTTGCCTTGGTTTCCTCATCAGTAAAGTATGGATAACAATAGTACTTTTTTTTGTTAGGGCAAATGGATTAATCTATGTAAAGTATTTTAAACAGTGCCTGATATGTGGTAAACAGAGTTAGCTTTTCATTATTATAGCCTTTTTTCTTTACCTTTTTTTAAAATGAGTTATAACAAAGTTCTCAGTTGAAAAGTGGGTGGAGACAGTATATTTATGAATGTGAAAAAGATGTGGAACAGAAAAGTAGTGTTGTGTGGTAGAATTGCCTTTGAGATCTGCTGCTGTGTGGAGAACGTCTCTAGAAATCCTGAGTTGCACAGGGTAGGCACAAAGAAGTCAGGTGACTGGGTTTATTGAGGTCTGGGTTTTTCTCAGGGGAGTATGATTGAGTAAAAGGGAAGGAATTAGGAATGTTTATGGAGGAGTGATTGTGATGATTAGCTGTTACCATCATCATTGGGTCAGAGGAAAGTAAAGACTAAAGGAGCTGATGGAAGTAGGATTGGATCTCTGAGGCAACAGTGAAAAGGAAAGAAGGCTGAGTGGGGAAAACCCCTTCTAACATAATCATATGTACAAATGATAAGTTAATAATTATGTAAATAATACAATGAAGGTAATATAATAAATGTAAATTAAATTCTTAGTGATGGTTTTTCTCCACTAACAGAAGGTAAGTTGTATGAGGGTAGGAATTTTTATCTGCTGTTTTCATTGATATATTCCGTGCACCTAAAACAAGCCTGGTACATAATAAGCACTCACTAAATATTTGTTAAATAAACTGAAGTGTTATAATCTATGAGAGATGACGGTGGAGGTGGTGAGAAGTGGTTAGATTCTAGATATATTTTGAAGTTAGATCTGATAGGATTTGGTGATGAATTAGATCTGGGAACGAGGAGTGTGAGAAAGAGGAGTTAAAACTAACTTTAAAAGTGTTGACTTGATCTACGAAAAAAGTTGTGTTACTATTTGCTGAGATGGGGAACACCATGAGAGGGACAACTTTTGGAATGTGAATATTGAGACCTCAGATTTGGATATCAAGTCTGAGACATCTTTAGCCATCAGATAGAGTTCATGTTAGATTGGCAGTGGATATGAGTCTAGAGTTGAGAAACTCATATTCATATGTCATTATTAGCACGTCGATGACTTTTAAAGCTGTGAAACTAGATGAGACAACAACTAGTTGTGGATAAAAGGGAGATTCAAGGACAGAATCATGGGACAGAACATAGAGAGGTCAAGGAGATAGGGAAGAAGCACTAAAAAGACTGAGGAGAGAGCTGAGAAGCTAGGAGGAAGTCAATTGAAGAAAGTGACCCAGGCATTCCCTCTTGAATTAAAAAGTGATCAGTTGTTTCCTGATCACTTGCTGAGAGTTTGAGCAAGGTGAAAACTAAGATGACCTTTGCATTTAGCAGTGTGTAGGTTTTGGTGATCTTGAGTGGTTTCGTAGAAAATGAAAATTAAAAAAAATATGAAGTTTAGATAATAATCTTGGACAGATGTTAAGATTTCACTTTGATGTAGAATTTTAGGTATTAATTTTATTCTGTTTTAAGATATCAATTAAAAATGATTAAAAATAGTGATAGATGATTTTATAATCAATTATATAAGGTGACTTCCTTTATGCTTATACTGTAATTCAGAAATAAAGGCCAAATAAGTCAGTCAGTCTTGCCAAATAAGTTAGTCTTTCTTGCCAAACTTAGAATATCTGATAGTTGACTGGAAAGGGAGAGAGTGAGTTTGGGTTAGCAAGCTTCTCAGTATAATCGCTATCCTGAGATATAGGATAAGGCTTGTAGATGGACAAAGTTCCAACCTCATACTACCAAAAAAAAAAAAAAGGACACTTTTAAAGATTTGATTAATTCACTCCTTCATCAGCTTTCTAGTATCTTACTAATGGTTTGAAAACAGTTAAGTTATAATGTAGTGGTTTAGAATTATGACCTCTATGAAAGTTATATTGTCTTTAAAAATTCCAAGGCAATATTACTTAAAAGTATAGCTTATATTGAGAGTTCTTACAGAGTTCCATTTATTGCATATCTGGAATAAATTCTGCACTCATAAATGGTTCAAAAAAGGGCTTGAGAAAGTGATTTTGAAAATTGCTAACTATAGAGTTTTAACCTGGAACATTTTCTTTAGTGAAAATTGTTATCTTTCTAAATGTTGTTTAGGAAGATTCTTACCTCTGAAGACAATGTTAGGACCAAGATATGACAGTCAAGTTGCTGAAGAAAATCGGTTCCATCCCAGTATGCTCTCAAATTATCTAAAGAGTCTGAAGGTAAGAAACAAGATTTTTGGAAACATTTATTTTGTATACTTAGTCTTTTCTTGTACTTATCCTTTTTTTGTTCTTCGGGTGACTAAACACTTGAAATACTTTTTCTTTTTAAAAATTAATTAATGAATGAAAAAAAAAAGACTTGACTCAGAGGAGGTTGCAAAAATTGCGTGTTGAGTTCTACGAACTCCTCGCTTAGCTTTTTCCAGTGGTGACACCTTAAGTGATTGTAGTACAATATCAAAAGCAGAAAGTTGATGTTGGTACAGTGCTGTTGACTAGATTACTGACTTTTTGTTTGTATTCATTTGTGAGTATATGTGTCTGTGAGTATCTGTGCGGTTTAATGCAGTGTATAGATTTCTGGTGGTGGTTTCAGACTCTATTATGTGCAGTGGATCTCCTTCATGCTACTTCTTCATAGGCAAACCCTGACCCTTACATTGCAACTGCCCATCTGTTCTCCATCTCTATAGTTCTGTCATTTTGAATTACTGTATAAATGGAACAAAACAGTATGTGATTTGCATTTTGCACTAAGTATAACGCCCTTAATCAAGCAGTCTCATGTATCAACAAAAAGTTTCTCTTTTTTATTTCTGTGTAGTATTCAGTTCTGTGGATGTATCCGAATTTACTTAATTGTCATATTGAATGGTTAAGTAACCATTTGATTTAAGCATTTTGAACTGTTTCTAGTTGTGGGGTTTTGCAAATAAAGCTGAACATTTATATACAGGTGTTTGTGTGAACATAAGTTTTCATTTTTGGGGGCTAAATACCCAAGAATATGATTACTTCTGATACATGGTAAGTTTTACAAGAAAGTGCCAAACTATGTTCCAGTCACTGTACATTTTATATTCCCATCAAGTGACTTTTTTTTTTCTTCCCATCAGGTAACTTTTTAAGAATAAATGAACTTTTGAGTTTTCACATTATTTTGACATATTACTAGTTGTTTTAATTTTTTAAGAACTGATAAATCACCACAAACTGGTTCCTTAAACAATAGTTATTTATTCTCTCAAAGTTCTGAGAGCTAAAAGTTCCAAATCAAGATGTTGGCAAGGTTGGCACCCTGTGGAAGTTTGGAGGGAACTTCTGGTGATTGCCAGCAATCATTGGTATGCCTTGATTAATAAATCTATTAAGTCTGCTTTGTTATTGACATTGTTCCTTTATGTCCCTTTGCTCAAATTTCCCTCTTAGTCATTTGAATTAGGACACACTAATATATTATCAGCTTGTGTTTATTTGATGATAATTGCAAAGGTCCTATAACCCTATTTCCAGATAGGGTCATTTTCATCGGTACTTAGGACTTTAACATAACTTTTTAGGGAACATAGTATTTTGTTAATCTTCCATTTATGCTATTGGTAGTCTATTACTGTGTATTATATTAGTACATTCAACAAATGTTAGTGCCCATTATGTACAATACACCTATCGTGGGTAGAAAAGCTGCCACTTAGATTTTAAAAAAACTCACTTTTTTTTTTTTTGGTGTAGCTTTGATTTGTTATATATTTTATTTTAGCTTACTTATCAGCTTCCACTTTTAATTTTCATTATCAGTTATATAGATTGTCATATCAATTAACAGATAAGGAGTGTTAAATGTTTCTTAGCAGCATGCTTATACAAATCAGATAGCCTGAGTCTGAGTTCTAGTTTTCCACTTACATCTATGTGGAAAAATACATAACCTCTTCATGTTTCTATTTCCTAGTTTGTAAAAAGAAATTAGTGCACGTAAAGCATGTAGAACAGTGCTTGGTACAAAGTAAGGACTTCATTTAAATTTCACAACAACATAAGATATATACTGTTATAACCCTTCATGGAGTGGGATTATCTCTTACATTGCTTATGAAGACTGTATATATGTAGTGTGTGTGTGTGTGTATACACATTATCCCACATTATCTACACAGACGCATTTATACATACACAGATATATGGGACTTGGCTTTTAAGTTATTCAGGTGTCTTAGTTTTCTTGGCTAAAGTATTTCTAAGTATTTAGAAATTTCTTGCTTTTCCCCACTTTTCACCCACTTCTTAATTTGAGTCTGCAGACAAACCACCTATGTTCTAATTGTTGCTCACTGAGAAGCTTTATTATGGTATATAAATCTTTGTGTTTGGCAATACATATCCTCTGAAGCAGTTAAGATCACTGCAATCTATGTGGAAAGAAAAGAGAAGTAGGCCCAGGGGTGACAGATTGTAGAAAATGCAATCAAAAATACATTTCCTTAAGTAAGAGCACACCTGATAGGTCTACCTATCTCTCATTTCTACAACAGTTCAGGAATCTGGGGAAATCATCAGAGCACATTAAGGCAGCTAATTACATTTGAGAAGCTTACATTTTTTTCTACTTTGTGTGAAATTTAAATGTTTTGCAATCCTTCCCTCCCCCCGTATCCCCTCCCCCGCAAATAACAGCGGAGTCATCACTTTGTAGACTCCTTTAGGTATATCCAACAATAAATACTCTATAGCAGCAACAACAAGAGAGAGAAAAATAACAGTTAAAAATGCATGTTGTTTCTCTCGCCATTCTTATCAGAAAATATATAATTCAAAATGAGATGGAAGAAGTGTGAATTAACTGTTTTTACTTAGTGCTGGTGCATATTAATTTTTTTAAATCAAGTTTTATTGAGTTGTCATTCATACAAAATTATATGATTTGGGGAATATAGATTGTTACCTCAATTGTGAGCATGCTTCACTCACCCTCACCAAAGCTCTAGTGCCAGTTGACTCCACTCCTCTATTCTGTCTTCTTCCTCTTCCTCTTCTTTAGTAACCACCATATTTTTCACAAATGAGTTATTTCTATTGTGTTGTGCTAGTTTTTCTTTGTTCATTTGTATTTCACAAATGAGTTAAACCATCTGGTAATTGTCTTTACTTTCTCATTGTACTTAGATAATCACCTCAAGATCCATCCATATTGTTACAGAAGGCTCTATATAATTTTTTTTAAATAGTGAAGAATTATTCCATTTAATAGCTAAACATATATTCATTTAAATATATATATTCCACAGTTCTTTATCCAGTCATCTGTTGATGGGCGTTTAGGTTGATCTCATGCTTTGGTTATTGTAAATAATGCTAGTATGAACTTAGGCGTGTACAAATCTTTTTGTAATAGTGTTTTCTTAGGGCCCTCCCTCGTGGTGCAACAGGTTAAAGGCTTAAAGGCAGTACTTCAAAACTAGCTGCAACAGCTCCAGTAAGTTCAATTCCTGGCCAGGGAGGTAACCCACATGGCACAGCAGACCTCTCCCATCTTGCCCCATGCTCCCCTCAGCAGTGTACTTTGTCAGTCTGCCTGTTCTGCTCTCTACTCTGTCTCTGGTGAATCCTCTCCACCACCTCAGCACCTCTGGCCTGTACCCCAATTCTGTATGCATAAATAATAAATATATCTTTAAAAAAATAGTGTGTTTTCTTATTCTTTGATAAATACCTGGAAGTGATACTCCTGGATTTAGTTCCATTTTAATTTTTTTAAGGTACCTCTATGCTGTTTTCCATAGTCTCTACCAATTTACATTCCAATTAATAGTGAATTGAGTGTTCCTTTACATACTTACTAATACTTTTGTCTAATCTTTTGATATAGCCCATTCTGACTGTGATGAGTTACTATCTCATTGTGATTTTTGATTTGCCTTTCTTTCATGATAAGTGATACTGAATCTTGTTTCATGTGCTTGTAGGCTTGACTTTTTTGGAAAAGTGTCATTTAGATTTGCCCATTGTTCGATTAGGTTGTTTGGTGTTTTGGTTGTTGAGTTTGAATTCTTTATATATTTTGGGAATTAGCTCTTTATAACATATGTTGTGTGCATTTATCTATTCTCAGTTATAGGCTGCTTTTTTTTTGTTTTACTGATGGTTCCTTTTACTAAGCAAAGGCTTTTTAGTTTAATGTAGTGCCTTTTTGTTTATTTTTGCTTTTTGTTTCCCTTGTTTGAATCCCCAAATATCTCTCTTGAGATTGATATCTAGAAGTGTATTCCCTATGTTTTCTTCTATGTAGTTTATGGTTTCAGGTCTTATACCAAGACTTTAATTCAATTTGAATTAATTTTTGTGTATGGAATTAAATAATGATCTAGTTCATTTTTTCTGTATGTGTCTGTCCAAGCTTCCAACATTATTTGTTGAAGAGACTTCCATTTTTCTATTGCATTATGTTGTCTCCTTTGTCAAAGGTTTTATGTGGGATTACTTCTGGGTTCTATTCCAATGGTCTTTGTTTCTACTTTTTTTTTCTACTTTTTTTTTCCAATGGTCTTTGTTTCTACTTTTTTTTTCTAATACCATACTGTTTTGATTACTGTAGCTGTATAATAGAGTTGCAGCCAGAGAGTATGTATTAAATACATTTTTCTTTTCTCTCAGGATTGTTTTGGTTGTTTAGTTCCATACAAATTTTAGAATTGTTTATTCAATTTTCTTGAAAAAATGTCATTGGGATTTTGATAGGTATTCCATTGAATCTGTAAACTGTGTTAGTAATATGTCCATTTTAACTCTTCTTTCAGTTTCTTCTTTCAGTCCACGAACAAAGGCTATCTTTCCATTTGTTTGTGTCTTTTATTTCTTTTGAGAGTCTTACAGTTTGCAATGTAAGTGTGCCATTTCTTGCCAGGGTGAATGTTACTATAATTGTTAAGGTTTTTCAGACCTCTAGCCCCTGAACACAAGCCAGACTTCACTTAGTGCTTAACAGAAAAGATAATAAATTTTATTCTAATGCAGGAAGGATAACTGAGAGATGTGGTTTAGTCTCCAGTAAGATGCTGAGATTTGATCACATATGTAAGTTTTTATTGATTAAGGAATTTAAATGGGACTTTAGAGTGCACATCATTTAGAATTTAATTGCCCAACATGTGATGTAGTGATGGCTGCTTGGAATACTGTGTTGATGGGTATGCGGTTCTGAGACTGGGTGTATTTCAGGTAGATGCTATCCCTTAGGTTCTTTTCTAATAAATTATCAGAAAACTCTGTAGGTATTTTCTTTGTAGGTAGACTTCTGCAATGTTGAATTGTGGTCTGTTTTGCCTGTTTTTATTCCTTCATTATTTTGTGGGTTAATTTATTTCACTAGTGCTTGAAAAAGAGTTAGGTAAGTGATACTTTCTTGGTTAATAGTTCATTGCCAAAGTGAAACTTAAAATTACCTTCAATGAAGATGATGGAGTACTGCCCTGTAGTCAGCATGTTTTGGAACAAATCCAGATACTAATAAATGACTTGTTCTATTTTTTTTTTTTTAGGTTAAGATGGGCTTATTGGTAGACTTGACAAATACTTCAAGATTTTATGACAGAAATGACATAGAAAAAGAAGGAATCAAATATATAAAATTACAATGTAAAGGGTAAGTCATAAAGAGTTTTTAATATTGAAACTGTTGAAATTTGTGCTGTTTTAAAAAATAACCAAAATGTTTTCATGTTATCAGACATGGTGAGTGCCCTACAACTGAGAATACTGAGACATTTATTCGCCTTTGTGAGCGGTTTAATGAAAGAAGCCCACCTGAACTTATAGGTATGTTTGGATATATCACTATTGAATATTGTATGTTGTAATTGGGTTTCCATTCACTTTTTTTCTGAGTGAGTTGAAATAGTCCCCAAGTCATGGTTGTTAAAGGGAGTAACTTTGGTAAACTATAAAATATATATATTTTCAGGATATTGCCCTTCTTCAGGTGTATTATTGGGAAACCACCTTGAATACTACATCTTTATTTTGTATAATTTTGCACTTTTTACTGTATGTATTATTCTGAAATTTCCTTCATTATTATGAGAGTCTCTATGATAGTATATGTAACTTGTTTATTTTTTAGTGCTATATGGTATTCCACCACAGACTGTGTAGTTTTACTTTGCCTAACTCTGTCTCCCTGTCTTGGTCAATGAAAATCCTAATAGGCTGTACGATGTAGCCTAGGTGTGTAGTTGGCTGTACCATCCAGGTTATGTAATTACACTCTGATATTCACACAGTGATGAAATTGTCTAATTCATTTCTCAGATTGAATTCTCATTGTTAAGTGATATATCACTATACTGTTGTTTATCTATTCACCTGTTGCAGACTTTTCTTTTGCCAGTTATTTATTGATTGCTATTCTTTGCCAGACATAGGCTTTTGAAATGTATCAGTGGAGAAAACAGAAAAAATATCTTTTCTCTTTTTGAGCTTGTATTTCTAATGTGAGCTGTGGTGAGGGGAGTAGTGGCATAGCCAGACAAAAAACTGTAAGTTTAATATATAACTAAATTTTCTTAAAATACCAGCTACTTAATAGTACTAGAGTTATTGTCAGTTATTTGCTATTATGAATGATGTTATTAGGAAGTGACCTAGAATTTTTTTTTTAAGTTTAGCAAGCAACATCCACAAATAGAGGATAGTTCCCAGCATTAGTACCGTAATAGTTATTTATTTTTTGTTGTTACTACTTGCTTTATTTATTTATTTTTTAAATACTAGTTTATTTTAACATCATTTTGTACATTTTTTTTTCATC